ATCCCGTTTACAAGATAACTCAAGCATTTTTGCCAGTGTACGAGATAAGACATATATGTCTTATATCCGGGCGATGACGGTATAATCTATTTGGACGAGAATGTTGTAATTACTGCAATTGTAATGAAGCACGATGCCTTTGCAAGAACAGAAAGCAAGCTTTCTCAATGCGAACTACAACGAAGCAACAGCGAGTCAACCAAAGCGGTTGAGAGAGACAACAGCGAGAGGTCGATTGAAGGTCGAAGGTCAGCGACCTTTGACTCGCTGAAAAGCAACGCGACAGTAAGGACACATAACTGACTCACTATTGAGCAGTTACCCGAGTCGTCGCTGTATCGAACCTCGACAGCAATTACAATTAGTGAAACCTTACATATTCCTTTGTACTCATATTAAGCTTTGTATCTCTTTGCTACTATCAACTCATCTTGTTCTCACATACCAGTGCAAGGTGGTTCAACCAGTTCATTAATACGCTTCCGCTAATACATCACTACTCCGAGTCTTAGTCTTGAATCGATCCTAAGGGCTTTTCTTAGTCTTGAAGCGTGGCTATGGAACAAAAACTTCTCGATCGCCCACAAGAAGCGCGGCTTCGGAAACCGCAACCATGTGTTTTGTCCCCAGCGCTTAGAACCGGAGCTTGGAAAAGAACCATCTGTTCTTGCCCGTCTTGAATCGCTCCTCAAATATCTTCTTCAGCTCCTGCAGTGCCACACGGGCAGATGAGCAAACGGGGACAGAGGAATGCGCAGGAGGAAACAAAAAGTAAGAATGGTTCAGAGGCAGCACAGAACCAGAGCTTCCTTAGAACCATGCGGTAAGGGCAAGAGCACATGGCACGAGAGAAAGGCAGAAACCTGGACAGACTGAATGGGGGAAAAATCAGTGAGGGCAAGGGAGAGGGGGGGTGGGATCGGGGGTGGGATCGGGGGTGGGAGGGGAGGAGAGGAGATATGGAACAGCGAAAGCAAGGCGTATGTCGCAAAACGGCAAGAAACAGTCCATCAACGCCATTTTCTTCAGGCACAGCCTGATAGAAGACAGCATGCCCCCAGAAGTCAGAGAATTTTCTCTGATTTGCCCAAAAAAATCTCATATTTCAGCCCTTTTTTTTAAGTCAACTCTGAAAGGTCAGCCTTGTTTTGGAAAAAAACAGGAAAAATGCGGTTTTCCTAGTATGCAGTGGTATTTTTGCCCTTTTGTCTGATTTCCAGAGTAAAATCGGGTACCAACGCTGATTTTTCAACCTAGCCCAAAACCAATCTGAGGGCCTGGAAGACAGCCAGAGAAGTTCCCTCTGGCTGTCTACTATCAGGCTGTCTACAATCAGCTTGTCGTCCTTTCCCTATCCCCCCCTCCCTCTCCCTTTCTCCCCCTCCCTCTCCCTTTCCCCCCCTCCCTCTCCCTTTCCCCCCCATCCCTCTCCCTTTTCCCCACTCCCTCTCCCTTTCCCCCCTCCCTCTTCCTTTCCCCCCTTCCCCCTCCCTTTCCCCCTCCTCTCCCTCTTCCCTCTCCATTTCGTCCCTGTCTTCATCCCTTTCCTTCACCACCCCAATCGTATCGCTCTCCCTCTTTGTCAATGCTCCCCCCTCAGTCCTCTCTCCTCCCCCCCTCTCTTCTTCCCACCCCTCGCTCATCCTCCCCCCCCCCCCTCCTCCTCACCTTCTTGGTCTCCACCCGCTTGGCCGAGCTCTCAAGCTTGTCAGCTGTCACCGTGCTCTTGAGATCCACATCCAGCTGGTACCTGCGGTCAACGCAAGTCAACGGGAGCAGAAGGGAGTTCTGTTAGTCAATAAAATTCAATGGAAACTGGGTCAAGCTGGTCAAGCTTGTCGGCTGTCACCGTGCTCTTGAGATCCACGTCCAGTTGGTACCTGCGGTCAACGCGAGTCAACGCGGGTCAACGGGAGTAAAAAGGGGTCAAACGGAGTCAATGGCTCTGAAAGCGGGTCTGAAGAGCACGGTGACTGCTGACAAGATTGACTCGGCGGGGGGACGCGGAGGGGGAGACCGTCATGGGGGAGAAGGGGAGGGGGAGAGGTGGAGGGGGACGCGGCGGGGAGGCGGGAAGGGGGAAACAAGAAGAGGAAAGGGGGGATGCGGGGGAATTCCGGGGAAGCGAGCATCAGAGAGGGGGGTTTGGTGAGGAATGGGGGAGGAGGGAGGGGGATGCGGAGGAGACTGGAGTGGGGCAGACTAATTACCCGATAAACGAACTAGTTAACCAGATACGCGAATTAGTTACCTAGTGGGCGAATTACTCACCTAAATGGCATAAGGTGATAGTAGTTAACGAGCTGGATAAAGGCCTTCACTTGCGAGCAAGGTGATCAACTACCTAGCAGTGAGTAGTAGATTAATGACCTAGTGAACAGAATAGTTCATTAGTGGGCTGAATTATTACCTCGTGGGCATGAGGTGGTTGTAGTTAACGAGCTTGATGAACGCCTTCACTTGCGAGCGCTTCGCGAGGGTCTTGGGCGTGAGCTTCTTCGTGACCTGGAGGGGTGGGGAGGCGTGGGAAGGAGTGATGAGGAGTGAGGAGTGAGCATGGGGAAAATACCTTCGCGAGGGTCTTGGGCGTAAGTTTCTACCCTCCTGCGCGTGACCTCGGTTAAACGGGACGGCCTTCAGGCGAGTGCGTTAGCACCACGGTCTGGCGAAAAAATAGCAAAATCAAGAGCAGTGCGATAAGAGTGCTAAGAGTTCGAGAACTCCTAGACCCCTCTAACGCGTCATCTCAGCCGTCGACCTACGTCCGTAAGACCAGCGACTGATCCACGTCGGTAAATCAGTACCTCACTCTACGTCCACACCACAAACATCCTAATCCGGGCGATGTAAACAACGCGACGGTGGCGGTCTGGCGCACAATGGATCACAGATGAAGAAACCCTAATCCATGTCGAGCAATAAAAGAACTACGATTCAAGCGTGGCTGGTGGTTGACGGTTGACGACTTTTGCGGCGCCTAAAAAATTGTCGCTGAAACTAAGCCTGTCAGACGACTGCCGGCCAAACAAAGCCTGTCCGACGGCTCACGATGAATTCAAGTCTGGCTGACGGCTGACCACTTGCTCGCAGTGCGGAGAACGAGAACTCCAAGTCAACGAACGTCGCATCTAGGCCATGGTCCCTCGCTGGCTCCTCGGTCTCCGACCCTCCCTCGCTCCCACGGGCCCGCATTTCTGTCTGTCGGCTCTGCGAGTCGGTGTTCACGGCGCGCATCTTACGGCGCCCAAACACACCCCACGGTCCTTTCCCCCTTCGGTCCCTCGGTCCTTTCATCCTTCGGTTATCCCGCATGACGCTAACGTTCGCGGCGCGCCTCTCGAGTCGTCTGAACTAACGGTCCGTCGGTCGTTCGATCCCTCAATCCGTCCCTCCTTCGGCCATTCCGCATTCCTGTCTGCCGTCTCTAGACGTTGCGCTCACGGCACGTATCATCCTGAGGCACCTGAACTAGCGGTACCTCGGTCCTCGGTCCCGCGTGTCTGTCTGCCGACGATTTTTCCTTGATGGTTGGATCGAGGGTGCTGCTTCGAGTGCCCTGCCTACGAGGGCAGCCTCTTACTATCGGGTATTGATGAAATTTACGGTGGCGCATCTACACCCAAAAAAGAATATCACGAGAAACTAATCGACACGAAACGAGGAGCGACGGCTAGGAAAACCGCAACGAGGCCAACGCATCAACTTCCACGTCAGCAGTTACGTTAGCAGGTTCCCGCCACGTCACATTTCACGCCACGTCACGCCGAAGGTTGCAACCTCACCTTGCGGGGATACTTGGAGATCCCGGCAACGAGCGCGTGGCCGTACTGCCGGCCAGAAACGCCGTCGTCGAAGTTCTTAACGATCACCGCCTTGCGGCCGGCATAGCGGCCCTGCAGCACCACCACCACCTTGTTCGGCTTCAGGAACTTCACCATTGTGACAGTAGCGAGGGGACGGACGGGACGGGACTACAGCGAAACGGAAAGGTTGCGGGAGAGACGCCCGAGGCTCCTAAGATTGCCTAGGTTGGCGGTGGGAGGGAGAAAAAGGGGTAAGTTGGGGAGGAGGAGAGAGGATATGCTCGCTAAACCCTAAGCGGCTCCCGCTGGGGTGTCTGTTGCGCCAGTGCTGCCTTCTTGCGCCACGCTGCCTATCGGCGCCTTGCCCCGAACATCGAGCGACAACTGGTTTCAGTTTGTGGGTGTTTCGCTAAACGTGTTTTCGGCATTGTCATTCTTCTACTCGCAAGCTTTGGACTGACGTTCTTCGCGACGTATGAGTGGTCTGCGAGTAGTGTTACTCGATTACAGAGCGAGTGGGTAGATTGGTAGCCACAGAGGGGTGGTATGCCACAGATGTGTCGCGCTATGGAGCATTTTTTCCTAGGCTGCTCTCGGTACAGAAGTGCCAATTCAGAAAACTAAACACTCTAAAATGCAAGGCACATATGGAGAAGTACCTAGTACAAACCCAATAGAACAAGAAATCAATTCTCCACAGTAGCAAACCTAATTGGTAATCTTCTTAACCTGGCTGTGCTATGAGAAATTTGCTATAAAACAATCAAGGAATAAAAGGAACCCTAATTCTATATTGTGACGTACTCATAGCTTTAATTTAATGCATCCCCATTAATCATCTGAAGTTTTGATCAACTGGGTAGGTATCATGGAAACTTCACCGTAGGTTTCCACTAAACCAAGGGTGAGCTGCCCACAGGAAAAGGAAGGCGTATCGTATAAAAAAGGATGGAATCACAGCTGAAGACAGAATATCATGGTTGTAAACAATACACAGCAGAAAAACTGTAGAGCAGGAATTAACACATCCTGTTTGCTCGCATGTGGGGTATACACGCGTGCACTTGCATTCGAGCAAGAATTACGAAGGGGGGAGGAAAGGAAGCGGAAGGAAGCGAAAATAGGAAATCGAAGAGAAAGAGCGGAAGAAAAAGGAGGAAATACAAGAGAAAAGAGCATGCTGAAGAACTTTCTTACCAAGAGCCCCTTGTGCCGTTAGCCTCTTCTTCGCATCCCTTACAAGCATCTTCTTTAACAGATCCACTGCTTCTGCGCTCACGCCGCGCCACACGTCCCCTCTATAGCTCGCCTTGGCTTCCTTTATAGCTTTAATCACACCAGCTTCGGTTCGCGCCCAAAAGGGCGGCACTCCAGCCAGCATGACATAGAGCACAACCCCGGCGCTCCAGATGTCGGCAGGGAAGGAGTAGCTGCCCTCCACCACCTCTGGTGCCACGTAGTATGGCGACCCCATGAACTCCGTCAGTGGCTTGGCCCCTGGTAATGGGGAGGGTGGGGAGCAGTGAGGGGCGGTTGGGAGTGGTGGGAAGTGTTGGGGAGCGGTGGGGAGCATTGGGGAGCGGTGGGGAACGGTGGGGAGTGGTATGAGAAAAGGAGTTGCACAAGGGAAGGAGTAGCTGCCCTCCATCACCTCTGGAGCCATGTAGTATAACGACCTCATGAACTCAGTCAGGGGCTTGGCACCTTGAAATGGGAGGGAAGGGTGGGGAGCGGTGAGGAATGGTGAGAAGTGGTAGAGGAAAAGGCAGTGAAAAAACTGTAGAAACAGTATAATGGCAGCAGTCCGAATTCGGCCCATAATGAAACATCACATACCTGGGAGTGAAGAGAGAGGATTCTCGTTTCACGTTAGGGCGTGTAACACGCCCTTAGAAGCACCAGAAGCTCACCTGATGAAGCACCTGGCAAATCACCTGGTTTCACGATGGCAGCGATGCCAAAGTCGATGACCCGGCAGTCGGAGAGGGACTGCTGCGACTTGAGAAGGATGTTTTCGGGCTTGATGTCGCGATGCACTATGCCATGCTGGTGGCAGTGGGCTAGCACGGACAGCACCTGGTGGGGCCGAGGGGATAGGGGGGAAAAGGGGACACAAGTGGAGAGGAGAGGGGTCTGGGTTCAGTTGTGGCTTGATGTCACGATGCACGATGCCGTGCTGGTGGCAGTGTGCTAGCACAGACAGCACCTGATGAGATTGTGAGACAACAGGGTTGGTGGGGGAGAGGTGTGGATTAGGGCATTAGAGGCTTGATGTCCCAATGCACGATGCCGTGCTGGTGGCAGTGTGCTAGCACAGACAGCACCTGATGAGATTGTGAGACAACAGGGTTGGTGGGGGAGAGGTGTGGATTAGGGCATTAGAGGCTTGATGTCCCAATGCACGATGCCGTGCTGGTGGCAGTGTGCAGCACGGACAGCACCTGGTGGGATAGAATAGGGGGGAAAGGGGGACAGAGGGAATAGGGGATAGGGGATAGGGGGTAGGGGTAGGGGATAGGGAATGGGATGCAGAAGGGGGGGCAACAAGGGTGTGACTTGAGGAGGATGTTTTCAGGCTTGATGTCGCATGATTACGTCGCTTGCTGCATCATGCTCTGCGTGTAATTCTGCAAGTGATGTATCCTGCTCCTTACCTGCTGCATGATGCCCTGAGCGTCCCTCTTGTCCAGGCCCCGTCTCTCCTTGATGCGATCGAACAGCTCACCCCCATGGCACAGCTCCATCACCAGATGCACCGCCTGCCGTGCCATGCCATGCCATGCCATGCATAGTCATGGAAATGCCATGCCATCGCAGACATTCCATGGCAAGTAGAAAATAATGAAAAAAAAAAAAGACAATGGAGTTATGGAAGAATTCATACTGCTAGCCAATGGATTGTAAGCCTGCACACATTACATTATTTTTTGCAGAAAAAAAAAAAAAACACAAAACACACACACACTCACACACTCACACACACACACACACACACACACACACACACACACACACACACACACACACACACACACACACACACACACACACACACACACACACATACACACACACATCAGCTGCCTGCCCGCCACAAATCTTTTGTGAAACCCTTCAAAAAAAAAAAAAAAAAAAAAAAAAAGACTTTCCGCTCGATCACACACCTCCTTGTCCCATCAGCAGGTCTTCCTGTGGTAAACCACAAGGTTTACCTCCTCAACTCAACCAGCCACATTCATAAACGTTTTTTGCAGCCTCAATCCAGACTCTCAGCTCCACCACACACCCCCTCACCCAACACACACACCCTCATCCACATACCACCACATACCACCACATACCACCACATCTTCGAGCTTTGCCACGTTCCCATGCCCGCCCACCTTAGTTGCGGAAGACGCGTCCATCTAGACGCAGCGTCTAAGACGCTAGACGCTAGACAGTATAGATTAGACGCAGTATTAGACGAAAACCCGGGCAGGCAAAAAAAAGGTTCGGGCAGACCAAACAAAGTTCTATGGGGCATGGGGAGGGTGGGGGACATGCACCTATGTCACAACGGGGTGAATTTTTCCCCGTACCATAAAATTTTCCCCATTCTTAGACTTCACAAAAATCTTCACATCTCATCATATATAGTTGGGTTTCCATGTCTCTCTAGTAGTAGCAAACTCGAAGAAAATTACTACTACTACATCTCTCTGCAATCACTACTCCTCCTCGCCCTCCTCCTCCTCCTCCTCCTCCTCCTCCTCCTCCTCCTCCTCCTCCTCCTCCTCCTCCTCCTCCTCCTCCTCCTCCTCCTCCCCCTCCTCCTCCTCCCCCTCCCCCTCCTCCCCCTCCCCCTCCTCCTCCTCCTCCTCCTCCTCCTCCTCCTCCTCCTCCTCCTCCTCCTCCTCCTCCTCCTCCTCCTCCTCCTCCTCCTCCTCCCCCTCCTCCTCCTCCCCCTCCTCCTCCTCCCCCTCCTCCCCCTCCCCCTCCTCTCCCTCCCCCTCCTCCCCCTCCCCCTCCTCCCCCTCCTCCTCCTCCCCCTCCTCCTCCTCCCCCTCCTCCTCCTCCCCTTCCTTCTCCTCCTTCTGCTTCTCCCACTCATCGAGGCACACGTCGTCCTCATCCGCCTCCACCTCCCTATCCTCCTCCAACTTGTACCCCTCGGGGAGGGGAGGGGGGGGAATGTTCCCCTCCACCACCGCACCCTTCCTTCCCACCACACTAGGCCCCGCGTCATCCGCATCCTTGTGGAAGTTGTGCACAACATACACAAGGTCGCGCACTTTCTCCGACCCGAGCCGGTTCCTGCGCGCCGTGTGCACTGTGCACGCCATCCCACGTAGACCAGTTCCGCTCGCACGGGGAAGCGGAAACGGGCTGGGACAGCGTACGCCGCGCAACCAAGCAGTGGGATTTGTGCTCCCCAACCTCTTGGTGGTTAGCCATAGAGGTTGGGTTTTTTAGATACCAAGCGGTGAAGTGTGGTTTGTGTTCAATTTTGGTTAGGGGGGATTCAAATTTGCTTGGGGGGCTGGTTTATATGGTCGAAATGGGTGGGAAGGGGTTCTAATGGCGCGAAATTGATTTTCGAGTCGAAATGGCGAATTTCAATTTCGCTCGCGCGGATTATTTTTTTCTCGGGCTGCCCGAATTTTTTTCGCCCAAGCGTCTTGCGTCTAAAAGTGTGTCTTGCGTCTAGATGCTAGACGCAAAACGCGTCGAGCATCTTCCGCAACTAAGCCGCCCACCATCTCATGCACCACCAAGCTTCATCTAGACTGCTCACCCACCACATACCACCGCATACCACCCCATAACCCCTCGCCCACCACATACCTCCTCGTCCTCAAACACGTCTTCCAGCTTTGCCACGTTGGCATGCCCGCCCACCATCTCATGCACCACCAAGCCTCATCCAGACTGCTCACCCACCACATATGACCACCCACCACATATGACCACACACCACATATGACCACACACCACATACCACTGCATACCACCACACACCTCCTCGTCCTCAAAGACATCTTCCAGCTTTGCCACGTTGGCATGCCCGCCCAGCACCTCATGCACCATCACCTCCCTCTTCACTGCATCCACATCCGCCTTGCTCTGTAGTGTGTGGGAGGAAAGAGATGTAGGAGGGAAAGAGTGTGGGAGGGGGACAGCGCAGTATGGAAGGGATCATCCTCTCTAAGAGCCTCAACAGCCATGCCCGCCCACCATCTCATGCAAGATCACCTCCCGCTTCACTGCATCAACGTCCGCCTTGCTCTGCAAAACGCAGGGGGGACAAGGAGAAAGGACAGGGCGCGTGGGGAGGGAGAGGGAACAGATGGAGTCTAAAAGCACATGCACATGCCCGCCCAGCACCTCATGCACCATCACCTCCCTCTTCACTGCATCAACGTCCGCCTTGCTCTGTAGTGTGTGGGAGGAAAGAGATGTAGGAGCGAGGGAGTGTGGAAGGAAGACGGGGCAATATGGAAAAGATTATCGCTCTAGGTGCCTCAAACACCATGCCTGCCCGCCCACCATCCCATGCGCCATCACCTCCCTCTTCACTGCCTCTACGTCCGCCTTGCTCTGTAGAGAGCAGGAGGAAGAAGGAGAAAGGAGAGGGCGCGTGGGGAGGGAGAGGGAACGGATGGAGTCTAGAAGCACATAGTCCTGCCCGCCCGCCCACCACCTCATGCACCATCACCTCCCTCTTCACTGCTTCCACATCCGCCTTGCTCTGTACAGTGGAAGGAGAGTGTGAGCAAGAAAGGGCAGGGCGGATGGGACGGAGACGGAGCAGTACGGATGGGTGCATAGCTCACTAACTGCCTCAAGCACCATGCCCGCCCACCACCTCATCAACCATCATGCCTCTTAACTGAATACCTCATGCCTCTTAACTGAATACCTCATGCCTCTTAACTGAATACCTCATGCCTCTTAACTGAATACCTCATGCCTCTTAACTGAATACCTCATGCCTCTTAACTGAATCCCTCATGCCTCTTAAGTGAATCCCTCATGCCTCTTAACTGAATCCACATCCGCCTTGCTCTGTAGTGTGTGGGAGGAAAGGGTGTAGGAGGAAAAGAGTGTGGGAGGGAGACGGGGCAATATAGTAAAGATTATCGTTCTAGGTGTCTCAAGCACCATGCCCGCCCACCATCTCATGCACCATCGCTCCTGCTTCACTGCATCAACATCCGCCTTGCTACTTGGAGCAAGAGGGGATAGAGGGAGAAGGGACAGAGGGAGCGTATAAGCACATAGTCCTGCATGCCCGCCCACCATCCCATGCACCATCACCTCCCGGTTCACTGCCCCCACATCCGCCTTGCTCTTTAGAACGAAGGGGGGAGAAGGAGAAAGGACTGGGCACGTGGGGAGGGAGAAGGGAGAGAGGGGGTCCAGAAGCACATAGTCATGCCCGCCCACCACCTCATGCACCACCACCTCCCTCTTCACTGCCTCCACATCCGCCTTGCTCTACACAACAAGAGGGGAAAGGAAAGGGATTTGAGGGAGAAAGGGCAGGGGGCATGGAGAGGGAGAAGGGTGAAGGGGCTATAACCACATACTCACGCCCGCCCACCATCTCATGCACCATCACCTCCCTCTTCACTGCCTCCACATCAGTTCTCCACCCATTCAACTCGCCCTTTCTAACTTCCCCATAATCCTTGCACCTCCCACCTCCCCGCTCCTTGCACCCTTCCCAACCCACCTTCAGGTCGTCCTTATTGATCGACTTGCAGGCGAGCTGCCGCCTGGTCTGCTTGCACTGCACCACCTGTCTTCGATTCACTCGTATTACTTCCCTTGCCCCCCCCACCTGCCCTTCCCACTCTCACCTCAAGTCGCCCTTATTGATCGACTTGCAAGCCAGCTGCCGCCCGGTCTGCTTGCACTGCACCACCCACCACCCGCCTTCAAGTCACCCATACTTGCCTTGCACCTCCCACCTCCCCGCTTCTTGAATCCTTACCACATTCCCATCCCTAGCAGAGTTGCAACCCCTCACCTTCAGGTCGCCGTTATTGATTTTGAGACGTCTCAAAACTTGCAACCCCTCACCTTCAGGTCGCCGTTATTGATTTTGAGACGTCTCAAAACTTGCAACCCCTCACCTTCAGGTCGCCCTTATTGATTTTGAGACGTCTCAAAACTTGCAACCCCTCACCTTCAGGTCGCCCTTATTGATTTTGAGACGTCTCAAAACTTGCAACCCCTCACCTTCAGGTCGCCCTTATTGATCGACTTGCAAGCCAGCTGCCGCCCGGTCTGCTTGCACTGCACCACGCGCGTCACTCCAAACTGCCCCGCCCCGAGCTCCTTCTCACTCATCATGTACTTCTTGTCCAGCCGCCCAAACTCCCGCCCAAGCACGCTCCCACCCCCACTTCCAAAGAACCCCCTTTTCATCTGAGCCAGGCCCCTCTTAGCAAACCCTAGCAGCCCGCCCTTCTTGCTGGACTTGAAAAAGGAGGACTGGATTTCCTCCACAGTGCATGCTGCATCCCCCTCCACTGCCCCTAACGCGTTCAGGTCCTCAGCGGAAAGAGAGGAGAGGCGGGAGATTTTCTTGTCTGCGCCTGCGCTGCCACCAGCACCAGCAGCAGCACCACCACCAGCAGCAGCAGCAGCAGCAGCAGCAGCAGCAGCAGCAGCAGCAGCAGCAGCAGATGCGCCAGGGCTATGGGGACTCCCGACACTCCCAGAGGAGCGGTGAGGGGAATGAGGGTCACTCTCAACAGAAGCACGTCTGGGTAAGGGCGCCCTGTGCGGCTGCTGCTGCAGATGATACTGCTGCAGCGACTGCGATTGGGACCGTGGCAGGGGGGAGTGAGAAGGGTGTGACTGCTGCCCCTGCCCCACGTATTTCCTCTCCACAGCCCCTCCTCCCAGCATCGCGCCGACATCCATACTAGCCCCTCTAGCAATCCGCCCCTTGGGTTCTCCCCTCCCTCCTTCTCCCCCTCGTTCCCCCTCTCTCTCTCTCCCACTGTCTGCACTGGCCTGTCTGGGAACCCCACCCCCAGGCCTCCCACCTCGAATTCTCTCCATCTCCCTTTCTCTCTCCCTCTCTCTCTCCCTCTCTCTCTCCCTGTCCTTCTCTCTCCCCCACCCCGCGTCCACACTCGCTTGCCTGGCTATGCGTGGTGCTCGCCTTGCCTCGTCAGCCCTTCCCCTCTCCCTCTCTCTCTCCCTCTCCCTCTCCCTCTCCCTCTCCCTCTCCCTCTCCCTCTCCCTCTCCCTCTCCCTCTCCCTCTCCCTCTCCCTCTCCCTCTCCCTCTCCCTCTCCCTCTCCCTCTCCCTCTCCCTCTCCCTCTCCCTCTCCCTCTCCCTCTCCCTCTCCCTCTCCCGCTCCCTCTCCCTTTCTCTGTCCCTATCCCTCTCCCTGGATTCATCAACGCTGGAGTGACGAGGAATCCTTTCCCTCCTCTCCTCCCACTCCCTCTCTCTCTCCCTCTCCCTCCTCTCCTCCCAATCTCTATCCCTCCCACTGTCAACACTCGCTTGACGCGCAATCCTCCCCTTCCTCTCGTCCCGTTCACCTACCCTCTCACCTCTCCTCTCCTCCCTCTCTCTCTCCCATCCCCCACCATCCACACTACCCTGCCTGGGAACCCGTGGAATCCTATCCCCTCCCCGCCTCTCCTCCCTATCCCTGTCCGCCCGCACGCCATCTACACTCCCTTGTCGAGGGACACGCGGGATTCTATCCCCCCGCCTTTCATCCCTCTCCCTCTCCGCGCCCCCGCCATCCACACTCATTTGACGGGGCACACGAGGGATTCTAGCCCCTTTCCCTTCCTCTCTCTCCCCCCTCCGCTCCACCCTTCCCTCATCCCTCTCTCCCCGAACCTTCCTCTCACCCCTCCCCTCCTCCCTCTCCCGTTTCTCAAAGCTGCTTTGCCTGCTCATCCTAAGCCTCCTCTCTTCCGCCTCCTCCTCTTCATACCTTCTCATCATAGCCCCTCCCTCACTCGCTTGCCTAGGCAGCCTTCCCCCTCTCTCCACCCTCTCTCCTCTCTCCCCTCCCCTTCCACCTCCACCCCTCTCCCGATCCTCCTCTGCAAACGACCGCCTCCTGTTCCCCCTCACCCTCTCATCCCCGTCATAAGCCTCCTCGCTAGCCACAGAAGAGCTCCTACCAGGAAAAACCGGCGGAAGGCCAGGGGACCCGCCCCCAGCAGGCGGGGGAAGGCCAGGGGGAAGACCAGGGGGAATACCTCCGCCAACAGGGGGAAGCCCCGCCCCGGACGCCCCTCTTCCCCCTCTCCTCCTCCCCCCGTCCTCATCCCAATCCGCCCGCCCCTCGCCCTTCCCCCCTCCTACTCCTGGCTCGGTCAAACCCCTTCCGCGCCTGGGGTCTAAGGGAAGGCTCTCTTGCCTGAGTGTTTCCATCCCAGGAACACCGGCAGCAGCGGCAGCAGCAGCATCGAGGTCTGTATCAAAAGCAGAGTCGCTGGTGGTGGAAATGCTTCGTTCTGAGAGTGACTTGCGCAGCACACGAGCCCCTGGCGCTGCTGGGAAGGGGGGAGGGAGGTGGGGAAAGGTGGGGAAAGGAGGGCGGGGAGAGGAGAGGCAGAGTCGCTGGTGGTGGAAATGCTTCGCTCTGAGAGTGACTTGCGCAGCACACGAGTCCCTGGCGCTGCTGGGAAGGGGGAAGGGGGGGAGGGGAGCAAGGAGGAGACATGATTCACAGGTGGGACTGCTGCTGCTGGTGGAAATGCATTGGTCGGACAGTGATTTGCGCAGCAAACGCGCTCCTGGCGCTGCTGGGAATGGGGAAAAGGGCGGGAGGGGAGTGGGGAGGGGAGAGGATTCACGGGTGGGTGCTGCATACGTCATCTCTGCGCCTCTACCATGAGCAATTGCCCCAGTTTAAGTTTCACCAACCCATGGCTCGCTCACTCACCGGCTTTAAGGGGCAGCCCTCTGTCATGCAGTCTGGCAGCGCTGTCAGCACTCAACACTCGGGGATTGTCATTCTCTTGCGGTGACTTCTGAGTCGACTCAAAACTCGGGGAACTGTCCTTTTCTTGCAACGAATTCCGTCGGACTGTCATCTTCTTGCGGCGCCTAAAATTCACCCATGCTCACCAGCTTTGGGGGGGCAGCCCTCTGTCGCGCAGGTTGGCAGCGCTGTCAGCACTGCGGGTGCTGAAGATGTCTCGGCTATCATCGCCTTGCATGCTTCCCTTGAGACGACTCAAAATCCGACTCACCAGCTTTGGGGGGCAGCCCTCTGTCGCGCAGGTTGGCAGCGCTGTCAGCACTGCGGGTGCTGAAGATGTCTCGGCTATCATCGCCTTGCATGCTTCCCTTGAGACGACTCAAAATCCGACTCACCAGCTTTGGGGGGCAGCCCTCTGTCGCGCAGGTTGGCAGCGCTGTCAGCACTGCGGGTGCTGAAGATGTCTCGGCTATCATCGCCTTGCATGCTTCCCTTGAGACGACTCAAAATCCGACTCACCAGCTTTGGGGGGCAGCCCTCTGTCGCGCAGGTTGGCAGCGCTATCAGCACTGCGGGTGCTGAAGATGTCTCGGCTATCATCGCCTTGCATGCTTCCCTTGAGACGACTCAAAATCCGACTCACCAGCTTTGGGGGGCAGCCCTCTGTCGCGCAGGTTGGCAGCGCTGTCAGCACTGCGGGTGCTGAAGATGTCTCGGCTATCATCGCCTTGCATGCTTCCCTTGAGACGACTCAAAATCCGACTCACCAGCTTTGGGGGGCAGCCCTCTGTCGCGCAGGTTGGCAGCGCTGTCAGCACTGCGGGTGCTGAGCACTGCGGGTGCTGAAGATGTCTCGGCTATCATCGCCTTGCATGCTTCCCTTGAGACGACTCAAAATCCGACTCACCAGCTTTGGGGGGCAGCCCTCTGTCGCGCAGGTTGGCAGCGCTGTCAGCACTGCGGGTGCTGAAGATGTCTCGGCTATCATCGCCTTGCATGCTTCCCTTGAGACGACTCAAAATCCGACTCACCAGCTTTGGGGGGCAGCCCTCTGTCGCGCAGGTTGGCAGCGCTGTCAGCACTGCGGGTGCTGAGCACTGCGGGTGCTGAAGATGTCTCGGCTATCATCGCCTTGCATGCTTCCCTTGAGACGACTCAAAATCCGACTCACCAGCTTTGGGGGGCAGCCCTCTGTCGCGCAGGTTGGCAGCGCTGTCAGCACTGCGGGTGCTGAAGATGTCTCGGCTATCATCGCCTTGCATGCTTCCCTTGAGACGACTCAAAATCCGACTCACCAGCTTTGGGGGGCAGCCCTCTGTCGCGCAGGTTGGCAGCGCTATCAGCACTGCGGGTGCTGAAGATGTCTCGGCTATCATCGCCTTGCATGCTTCCCTTGAGACGACTCAAAATCCGACTCACCAGCTTTGGGGGGCAGCCCTCTGTCGCGCAGGTTGGCAGCGCTATCAGCACTGCGGGTGCCGTAGATGTCTCGGCTATCATCGCCTTGCATGCTTCCCTTGAGACGACTCAAAATCCGACTCACCAGCTTTGGGGGGCAGCCCTCTGTCGCGCAGGTTGGCAGCGCTGTCAGCACTGCGGGTGCTGAGCACTGCGGGTGCTGAAGATGTCTCGGCTATCATCGCCTTGCATGCTTCCCTTGAGACGACTCAAAATCCGACTCACCAGCTTTGGGGGGCAGCCCTCTGTCGCGCAGGTTGGCAGCGCTGTCAGCACTGCGGGTGCTGAAGATGTCTCGGCTATCATCGCCTTGCATGCTTCCCTTGAGACAACTCAAAATCCGACTCACCAGCTTTGGGGGGCAGCCCTCTGTCGCGCAGGTTGGCAGCGCTATCAGCACTGCGGGTGCTGAAGATGTCTCGGCTATCATCGCCTTGCATGCTTCCCTTGAGACGACTCAAAATCCGACTCACCAGCTTTGGGGGGCAGCCCTCTGTCGCGCAGGTTGGCAGCGCTATCAGCACTGCGGGTGCCGTAGATGTCTCGGCTATCATCGCCTTGCATGCTTCCCTTGAGACAACTCAAAATCCGACTCACCAGCTTTGGGGGGCAGCCCTCTGTCGCGCAGGTTGGCAGCGCTATCAGCACTGCGGGTGCTGAAGATGTCTCGGCTATCATCGCCTTGCATGCTTCCCTTGAGACGACTCAAAATCCGACTCACCAGCTTTGGGGGGCAGCCCTCTGTCGCGCAGGTTGGCAGCGCTGTCAGCACTGCGGGTGCTGAGCACTGCGGGTGCTGAAGATGTCTCGGCTATCATCGCCTTGCATGCTTCCCTTGAGACGACTCAAAATCCGACTCACCAGCTTTGGGGGGCAGCCCTCTGTCGCGCAGGTTGGCAGCGCTGTCAGCACTGCGGGTGCTGAAGATGTCTCGGCTATCATCGCCTTGCATGCTTCCCTTGAGACGACTCAAAATCCGACTCACCAGCTTTGGGGGGCAGCCCTCTGTCGCGCAGGTTGGCAGCGCTGTCAGCACTGCGGGTGCTGAAGATGTCTCGGCTATCATCGCCTTGCATGCTTCCCTTGAGACGACTCAAAATCCGACTCACCAGCTTTGGGGGGCAGCCCTCTGTCGCGCAGGTTGGCAGCGCTATCAGCACTGCGGGTGCTGAAGATGTCTCGGCTATCATCGCCTTGCATGCTTCCCTTGAGACGACTCAAAATCCGACTCACCAGCTTTGGGGGGCAGCCCTCTGTCGCGCAGGTTGGCAGCGCTGTCAGCACTGCGGGTGCTGAGCACTGCGGGTGCTGAAGATGTCTCGGCTATCATCGCCTTGCATGCTTCCCTTGAGACGACTCAAAATCCGACTCACCAGCTTTGGGGGGCAGCCCTCTGTCGCGCAGGTTGGCAGCGCTGTCAGCACTGCGGGTGCTGAAGATGTCTCGGCTATCATCGCCTTGCATGCTTCCCTTGAGACGACTCAAAATCCGACTCACCAGCTTTGGGGGGCAGCCCTCTGTCGCGCAGGTTGGCAGCGCTGTCAGCACTGCGGGTGCTGAAGATGTCTCGGCTATCATCGCCTTGCATGCTTCCCTTGAGACGACTCAAAATCCGACTCACCAGCTTTGGGGGGCAGCCCTCTGTCGCGCAGGTTGGCAGCGCTGTCAGCACTGCGGGTGCTGAAGATGTCTCGGCTATCATCGCCTTGCATGCTTCCCTTGAGACGACTCAAAATCCGACTCACCAGCTTTGGGGGGCAGCCCTCTGTCGCGCAGGTTGGCAGCGCTGTCAGCACTGCGGGTGCTGAAGATGTCTCGGCTATCATCGCCTTGCATGCTTCCCTTGAGACGACTCAAAATCCGACTCACCAGCTTTGGGGGGCAGCCCTCTGTCGCGCAGGTTGGCAGCGCTGTCAGCACTGCGGGTGCTGAAGATGTCTCGGCTATCATCGCCTTGCATGCTTCCCTTGAGACGACTCAAAATCCGACTCACCAGCTTTGGGGGGCAGCCCTCTGTCGCGCAGGTTGGCAGCGCTGTCAGCACTGCGGGTGCTGAAGATGTCTCGGCTATCATCGCCTTGCATGCTTCCCTTGAGACGACTCAAAATCCGACTCACCAGCTTTGGGGGGCAGCCCTCTGTCGCGCAGGTTGGCAGCGCTGTCAGCACTGCGGGTGCTGAAGATGTCTCGGCTATCATCGCCTTGCATGCTTCCCTTGAGACGACTCAAAATCCGACTCACCAGCTTTGGGGGGCAGCCCTCTGTCGCGCAGGTTGGCAGCGCTGTCAGCACTGCGGGTGCTGAAGATGTCTCGGCTATCATCGCCTTGCATGCTTCCCTTGAGACGACTCAAAATCCGACTCACCAGCTTTGGGGGGCAGCCCTCTGTCGCGCAGGTTGGCAGCGCTGTCAGCACTGCGGGTGCTGAAGATGTCTCGGCTATCATCGCCTTGCATGCTTCCCTTGAGACGACTCAAAATCCGACTCACCAGCTTTGGGGGGCAGCCCTCTGTCGCGCAGGTTGGCAGCGCTGTCAGCACTGCGGGTGCTGAAGATGTCTCGGCTATCATCGCCTTGCATGCTTCCCTTGAGACGACTCAAAATCCGACTCACCAGCTTTGGGGGGCAGCCCTCTGTCGCGCAGGTTGGCAGCGCTGTCAGCACTGCGGGTGCTGAAGATGTCTCGGCTATCATCGCCTTGCATGCTTCCCTTGAGACGACTCAAAATCCGACTCACCAGCTTTGGGGGGCAGCCCTCTGTCGCGCAGGTTGGCAGCGCTGTCAGCACTGCGGGTGCTGAAGATGTCTCGGCTATCATCGCCTTGCATGCTTCCCTTGAGACGACTCAAAATCCGACTCACCAGCTTTGGGGGGCAGCCCTCTGTCGCGCAGGTTGGCAGCGCTGTCAGCACTGCGGGTGCCGTAGATGTCTCGGCTATCATCGCCTTGCATGCTTCCCCTCCCTTCCTTCGGCCTCCTGTTCCTTGCCCCCTCTCCCTCCTCTCCCTCATCCCACTCCTCCCCCCTCTCTCCCATCCCCTCTGCATACCCATCTGCGCCCATCCCCCTCTCTTCATACTCCTCCGCCCCTATTCTCTCTGCGCCTCCCTCTTCATCCGAGCCTGTTTCCGAGCCATCACCCAAGTCCTCATCCCGCGAAAAACCTTCTCTCTGCCTTTGCTCCTCCCCACCGTCGCTCTCACTTCCTAGTGGAGAATCGCCGATTTCCTCCACCTCTCTCTCCTGCCCCCTCCTCTCATGCCATTCCTCCTCCTCCTCCTCATACTCGTGACTGCGGTTATCTCCCCTCCCCTCTCCCCTTCCCTCCTCCTCTTCTTCCTCTTCCTCTCCACCTTCCCCCCTTCCGACCTTCCCCACTTGTCGTTTCTCCTCCTTTCTCCCCTGTCCCCTACCCCCGCTCCCACCATACTCGTTATAATCCCGTTCGTACGCGCTCCTTTCAGGCTCTGAATCCTCACTTTCGTCCGATCCACGCTCTCTGTAGTCACGCCCTTTATAATCAGATTCGTCATAGTCACGCTCGTCCAGATGCCGATCGTTATCTCTATCAATCTCCCCACCGCGCCTCCGTCCTTCCCCATGCCTATCCCTCTCCCTCTCATACTCCCTCTCCCTCCCATACTCCCTCTCCCGCTCCCACTCCCCCTCCTCTTCCCCTCTCCTCCCCTCACCTCTCCGCCTGCCCTCCCTCTCCCTCCCCGCCCGCCCCGCGCTTCCGCCAGGTGGTGGAGTGCCACGTGGCGGCCTCTCCCCCTCCGTGCTGTTTTGCCGTCGAAACGACCTCCCCGAAACACCACCGCCCTTGCTACCGCCGCTGGCCCCCTGCCGATCGTCGAATCCCGGCGACCCTGCGCCGTGCATTCCGGGCGGCGTAAGTGGCGAGCCGCGGCCGCTACACGACATAGATCTGCCGGCTGCGGAAAATGCAGAACCTGATCCGCCTCTTCCGCTTCCGCTTCCGCCACTCCCGCCGCTTCCCGCGCTCGCGGAGATGCGACCGCCGCCGTCGGCCTTACTAGGCGTGCTCGGCCTCTCAAGCAGCTGCTGCTGCGCTGCCGGTCGGCCGCCGGAACTTGTCGGCCGGCTGACGGCCGCCGGACGACCACCGCTTGTAGACGGCCGGGCCGGTTGTTGACCCGTCGGCGATTGCTGCTGCTGCTGTTGCAGGAGCGTCATGACTTGGCGCGCTTTGGCCACCTGACGCGTGTTGGCGGCGTTTTCGGGTTGTTGGAGCTTTTCCATGAGCGTTGCTGCCTTGGAGAGCTGCTGCGGGGACACGTGGGCGGCTCCGCCAATTGAAGAGGAGGCGGAGCGTCGGTGGGATTTGTCGTTTTTGCTCGCCATGACGGAATGTGTTTTGAACGAAATAAATATGGATAGAGAAATGGATGAAACCCTATAAACTAGGATGTTGGTAACGCACTATGTGTACCGGAATTCTAGAAGGCACCCTAGAATGTAGTCTAAAATGCTAACTACATTCAATAGTGACTATAATGCAGTCTAGGTGGATGGATGAGAGTTGCTGGCATCGAAGCGCCGTGGGTTCTTAACGTCATCGAAGCGCGCAGCCGGCATTAGCCTGATGGCGATTGTGATGACAACAAGGAGCTACGGAGCATGCAGATAAGGATGGCGAAGGAAGGCGAAGAGCAGTGGCGAAAGGAAGCAAAACCCTTGTCAGGCTCTCGCATCCAAACGCCAACCTCGACTTTTCCACTTCAATAAGAATTCCGTGGAAGTTGCTTTCTAAGTTTCTCAAAAGCGGGAATGCCGCGTGGCATCCACGTCGACAATGACTAAGCTTTTCGTCGGTTATTATTCTGAACATCAACGAACCAACATTGGTGCGAGAAGGCCAGTTGCTGACCGAATGAGCCGCAAACCAGCCAGCCCTTGGGAGGGAACCAATTCTTGTTACGAAGGCCAAAAGCCACCCAAGCAGGGAATTTCTGCTGCTATTCCTACTGTTTGTCTAGCCTGGAATTGCTAGCTTCGATCACCTCCACAGAATAATCTCGATTCCTGTATGCTGCTGATGGTCTCGATTCCTGATTCCTGAACTTGGATAAGATCATTTCGCGCACAGTTTTATGAGGGCGTATTCACTCTACATGTACTTCTTTTCGCAACCAAACGTTTCCGTACAGAAGAAACTGCCAGATGGACTTTTCAAGTGCTCCGCAACGGGAATTCCACCTTGCCGAGTGCGATACAAACTGGTTCCAAAAACCGGAAACACTGTTTATGGGACGAGCACTGGAGCAGGAGCATCGATGGGTGCCCACTGCGCAGCCCATCACACTCTTGTACGCGTACAGGACACCATGTTCAGAAATGTGGTAGGTGGCAGCAATGACCATATGTCACCCGTTATAAAAAACGTCGCTAGATTTACAAGTATACAGCATACAGTTACGATATGTACATTAAGACTCCTTCACATTATCCATTGGTACATGCAAGCAACTACCACCTAACCTAACACAATATGGCACTGAATATAGTAAGACCGTTGCATGATAACATGCATTTTTACCATATGAGCTGTTATATGTAAGGCGTATCACATTTTCTCGATATTTTTCTATCTGCTTGTAGCAATATCATCTATATGATGCTCTCCATCTCTATGTAATCCATGCATAGGTTGTCACTATATCGTGCTTCTCATGTTGGAAGTGCCTGGGTCTAGAACATTACCTTCATGCACCTGTAGAAAAAAAATATACCGTATTCTCCCGGACATAGCATGTTAGAATTTATATGTAACTGCCTGTAGTTGTAGTTTAGTGTAGTTATTATAAACTGTTGGTGGTGCACCTTCTTTGCATGCTCTGTTTACTATATGTACCCTAGTGCTATAGTGAACATCACTTTTCCCATTCTCGACTCTCACCTTGGCACAACCTCCTCGACTTCCCCTAGGCCTAGGCTACTAAGCCTAGGCCCTACCTAAAACCTAAGCTTACTCTTAGTAACTCAACATGGCATTAGAGCGAGTTACGTCCTGGCCTGTGGGCCCGCCTCACGCTTCCGCTGCTGTTTTTCCGGTCGCGCGCCTCGGGCGCGTGGCGATTTTCTTCCTGTCCCGCCCCCGGGTGGCGAGTGACATCTTTTCTGCCCGTCGCGCGCCCCGTGGCACGCGACGGTGCCCTGCCCGTCGTGTGCCCCGTGGCACGCGACGGTGCCCTGCCCGTCGTGCGCCCCGTGGCACACGACGGTGCCCTAAACCTGCCCGTCGTGCGCCCCGTGGCACGCGACGGTGCCCTGCCCGTCATGCGCCCCGTGGCACGCGACGGTGCCCTGCCCGTCGTGCGCCCCGTGGCATGCGACGGTGCCCTAAACTGCCCGTCACGTGCCCCGTGGTGTGCGACGGTGCCCTGAGCCGCCGCGGAACCGCCCCTGGCGCCTGCGACGGTGTCCTGAGCCGCCGCGTACCCGCCCCTGGCGCACTCGGCGGTGCCCCTGCCTCACCCGCGCCTGCACTCGCTGCAGCCGCCCCTGCACCACCCGGCGCCTGCCCTTGGAGCAGCCGCCCCCGCTCCTGCACTCGGTGCAGCCGCCTCTGCCTCACCCCGCGCCTGCACTCACTGCAGCCGCCCCTGACCTACCCGCGCCGACCCTCTGTAGCCGCTCTGCGGCTTTCTCCCCGCCCACCCCCTCCTCCTTCGTCTCCCTGCAGCCGTGGGGGGGAGGGTATGGGGGTGGCGGGTGTTGGGGTGATGGGTGGTGTGCTTCCCTTCCCCTCCTCCTCCTTTCGTTCCCACTGCTGCAGCTGCCGCTGGGGGGGAGGGTGTGAGGGTGTGGGGGAGCCGGGGGAGTGGCACTGGGGTGGCGGGTGTGAGACCAACCAGCAGCCGTCCCTCCACCTCTCCTCTCTTCCCCCCTCTGCTGCTCCTGCAGCAGTGTGGGGGGGAGGGGGAGGGGGAGGGTGAGGAAATGGAGGGGGTGACCAGCCAGAGCCAGCCCGCCTCCTCACTCTCCCTGCTGCCCCTCCTGTGGTTGGGGGGGGAAGAGAGTAAGGGGGTGGCAGGAATTTCTTGCTGTCGCCTGTCCCTTTGCTGCTGTACCTGCTCTGTTACCGTACCTGCTGTTGCTGTTGCTGGTATACCCCTGCAGGTTGTGTTCTGCACAAACTCCTGCTGCAGGCAGTTATGGGGGAGTGTTAGAATTTATATGTAACTGCCTGTAGTTGTAGTTTAGTGTAGTTATTATAAACTGTTGGTGGTGCACCTTCTTTGCATGCTCTGTTTACTATATGTACCCTAGTGCTATAGTGAACATCACTTTTCCCATTCTCGACTCTCACCTTGGCACAACCTCCTCGACTTCCCCTAGGCCTAGGCTACTAAGCCTAGGCCCTACCTAAAACCTAAGCTTACTCTTACTTAGTAACTCAACATAGCACCCTAGGGTATAGCTAAAAATACAGGGAAAAAATGGGGAAGGTCTCCTCATAGGAAAAAAATACATAATGCCCGGGTCTTTACATATGGTATATTTTAGTGTTAGTGTTTATTTAATTAGACAATGTGGGTGTTTTGATTTTCATTTTAACATCACTGTCTGAGGCGCGAATGTGGGTTTCCGCCACGAGCTTCATCACCCCCACGAAAATGCCATGTGGCACCTCTCTTGCCACTTGCAGCGGAAGATTCGCCTGCACGTGGTCACAGCGAAGTAGTGCGAGGGGGGAAATCTCGGTAGATTGTAAGCGAATGTACCGCGAAATTTCATCTAGTGAGAAATTTTCGCGACATTCTTCAATATTGTGTTAGAATCTTAGGCGAGAATGAATGACTAGGAAACAAGGAAGGGTACCAGTAGAATGTCGAGAGGATTCTGTACCCCCTAAGGCTAAACCCACTATAGCCTAGACAAATGTAAACACATGAACTAAGCCTAGATATAACTAAGCATATATGTTTGACACACCCCCATAGGCGACGTGGGGGATAGCCAGAACAAGTAATGGTCACAAGACCAGTCATGAAAAGCAAAGCAAGCTCAGGGTGGATCACAAAGTCACCACACAGTCCGAGCACAAGCAAAGGGCCACAAGGCCAGTTCACTTACAGAGTTATATAAAGAGAACAAACAATACATTGATCATACCCTAACAAGTGCAAGCATGCATGTATATAGATAGATCACAGTACAGGCAAAGTCAGGCAGTAAGTAAGTGAGGAAAAGTAGGCACAAGGCCTAACACAGTAACAAAGCGCTGATGGTCACCAGGCGGAAGTGCCTTGGTGAAGACATCAGCAGTGTTGGCCCGAGTGGCCACGTACGCTAGACGAAGCTGACCACGCTGCTGCAACTCTCGAGCAAGGAAGTATCGCAGAGCGATGTGCTTCGTTCTGTGCTCCAGTCTGTGCTCCTGACACAAGGCTATCATGGCCTTGTTGTCTACGTACAGGACTGGAGGCGAACGAGGCTGCTCTCCCAAGTCGGTCAGCAAGTAGGTGAGCCAGGGTAGCTCCTGAGCAGCCATGGCTCCGGCGTAGATCTCAGCCTCACAGCTGGAGCTGAGAACTGAAGACGAGCGGGTAGACCGCCAAGAAACCGAGCCGGACCCAAGGCCGAAGGTGTAACCCTGCGACGACCGCTGCGTAGCTGAGTCGTCAACCCAGGAGGCGTCTGCGTGACCAGTGAGGAAAAAAGGACCCCGTCCTCCAAGCACAAGCCCCATGCCCGACGTACTGCACAGGTAACGCAGTACCCTCTTCGCAGCATCCCAGTGCACCTTTCGGTGCCTACCGGGAGCCACGTAGCGAGCCAGAAGGCTAAGAGGGTACGCGAGGTCAGGTCGAGTGCAAGTCATCAGGTACATGAGGCAACCCACAAGCTCTGGGTACGGACCACTCAGCTCTACGGACTCGTCCGAAGGTGGAACTAAGAGCGAGTGGCTGGTAGACAGAGGAGTGAGCTGTGGCGAGGAGTACTGGAAGCCGAAGCGCTGAAGGACCTGGTGCACCATGTGTGACCGAGTCAGTGTGATGGTGCGCTGTGCTCTGTCCCGGGTGATCTGCAGGCCAAGATAGCTTGTTAACTCACCCACGTCTGTGCTCGTGTGTCTCTTCTGCAACTCGGACTTTACGTGGGCGAGTGCCTCAGTGTCAGAAGACAGGCGGAGAACCCGGCGGCCGCTTCACCCTGAAGATCCACATGCCACTGACGATGTTCGCCCCAGGTGGGGGAACCTCGTCGACGTAGGTGCCTGTGGGCTTCCAGGAAGCCATCTCGGCGTCCATGGCTGCATGCCACTGAGAGGAGTAGGGACCCTCTATCGCCTATGCGTAAGAGCGCGGGGTCGGGATGTCTGGTGTGTCCGGGTCTCC